AAAGACAAGTTTTCCGATAACTCCTGAATGCAAGCTGATCAGTCACAGCCCTAACACTGTCCTTCGACGCATACGTGCCGAGCCCAATCTCTCGTTTTGAGGATCTCTGACGCCTACTATGTGGGGGATGGGGTTGCTGAACGACCAGTTTTCTTCGTCGCTATGATGTGGTCTAATGGGAAACACTTCGAAAGCGAACCTCCTTGGATTTAATCTGGCAGTATTGCGAGAAAAAAAGATCATTCGGAGGTTTGGGTCATGGATTACACGCCTGCCTTATAAAAATGTGTCCCATGATATGTTTACTTTTACTTTCGATGAAGTAACCGTAAGTGAATTTGATGAGAAGTATTGGCGATAAATGCTATTATAAGAATCAAATGGCAACAACCAGAACACTTACTTGCACAGATGAACGCCGTCCTTCAGCAGTTCAGCGACGTCAGCCGCTGTCCGACAGGCGGTTGGATCGGAAGCATATGGCATCTGAGTCACACTTTGTACCCATAGTAGCACTTCAATCGCTTCGTCCAAACTGAATCGGGCCTGGTTCTGCAAGGGAAGATGTTGAAGTCGTTTGCAGTTTGAAGTTATAGTCCGTTTTGCCCAGTTTTCCCATGTAAGAATCCCATTTCTTTTGCCGTTTGCATTAACCATTCGCCGAGCATGAGTTTTTCATTTGCTGACCTCATCGCGCCGTAAATGGTATTCGGTTTACAGGTCATGTGGAATCTATGAGGTTTGTAAAAGTTCAAGTACCTTGGCCACATGTATATACATAAGGTTCTGTATTTATTCTGTAATACAAGCTTGTTGCACCAGCAACAGAGAAGGTTGGGCCCCATCCCATATTTATTTACTTATTTATTTATTTAGTGCACGCACAGGTGCGCTTTTACAACACTTGGGCTGGACACAGTAGAATACAAACTACAGTCCTACTCAACGCTAAAATGAGAGAACAAACAGCCCGTAAAATAGGTAGAAAGTTCTTTAGCTTCGTCGGAGGAACAAAAACTGATGAAAAGTCAGCCCTTACCAGGCGTCCTCTGAGCTGGGTAATCCCCAGTAACTCTCTGAAATAACTTCAGTGGCGGATGACGCTAGGGAAAACGTCATTCCTAGAAGACAACCAAGCATGGAATCGGAAACTGAGTTTTCGGATGTTAGGTATTCCCTATCCCTAACAACAACTGAACAACCATATCAGATCTATTTGGCGCAGTTCGGCGACGGGGGGAGGCATTTTCGCACTTTCGCTGCTTCACTAGTTCCGGTTTACAAGTCTCACTCTGGTGAAACCTGTGAACTCTTGTGAAGCTGGAGCAAGCTCGTCAAGCCACCATGGTAAAACCTGTCAACTTAAAGAAGGCTCTCTAGATGGGTCGACTCGTCGATGGGAAGTAATTGTGCAAAATGCCAGTGCCCACCACCCCTCCCCCTCGTGAGCGAACTGCCTCGATCTGTTTTAATGCCGAAATCCTTCTGTTCTGAACTTCTAAAGAGTGGACTTTGGAGGACGTAAAGGCAAGTGGCACGATGGAATCTAAAGACATGTATTAGGTTGTTCGGAAAGAAATGCGCGTTGAAGCGCGTTGATTTGTCCATTTATTTCTCTCCTACTATAGAAGATTTTTCAAAACAGTTTTGTCTATTAGAAAGAGATTTTTATTGTGCATCTTTTGATATATTTTTGTCTATGTCTACTTTGTTTCACCAGCTGAGCGACGCAAACAAGGCAACACGAGTGGCAATGGCCGGAATTCTTCTTCGTCGCTCCAAGAACAGCGGTTTCTTCGACTCTATTGTTACATCAGATGAGACATGGATCTGCTACGACAACGCAACGCGAAAAAGACAGTGGTTAGACGCCGGTGACACTCCAAAACCGACTCCGAAACCGGATATACACGGCAAAAAGGTGATGCTCTGTGTTTGGTGGAACAGCAAAGGTTTGGTGTACTTTGAAGTACTGTGTTTGGTGGAACAGCAAAGGTTTGGTGTACTTTGAAGTACTGGATTCGGGTCAAACAGTTACGGCGGACATCTACAAAGATCAATTGAACCGCGTGGATCAAGCACTGCGTCGTCAAGGTGTCGAAACGACGTCGACAAAATTCCTCCACGACAACGCTCGTCCACATGTCGCGAAAATCACTTTGGAAAAAAATTGAGGAATTGGGCTGGGAAGTCCTGCCTCATCCGCCATACAGCCCAGACCTGGCACCATCCGATTACCATCTGTTCCGGTCGATGCAGCACTCCCTGGCCGAGAGAAAGTTCACAAACCGCGAAGAAGTCCAACTCTGGGTGTCCAACTACTTTGAGTCGCAGCCGGCCGAGTTCTTCGAAAGAGGAATCCATTCTTTGCATAAACGTTGGCAACAAGTCATTGATAGTAATGGAGATTATCTTTTGAATTAATCTTGTTTAATTTCGTTTTTATAATAAAAAATTTTTTAGACTCAAACGCGCATTTCTTTCCGAACAACCTAATAGGATCAATATTAGCAGGATAGAATTTGGCGCCCTGAGCAGGGGCTGCGTGGCGCCTTTTCGAAGGGACTCATAGCGTCTATCAAGCTGTAACACCGACCCGGACGGCCCACACGCCGTGAACGCCACAATAGACGACGCACCCCTGAATGCTCATACTATTTTATATGAGACTACGTTTTTTTTGTAGGCCTACCGCAGCGGTTATTGGAACATTGCCAACGGAAACTCGTCCGAAATCACTTCCTTTGTCAAGGGGAACAAAGGCTTCATTTGCTGGTTTTTGACCGTTTCACTCGTTTTTTTTTTCGACATTTTTCAATACATGGGCTACCATTCTAGATCAGGTACCAAACTATCATGCCCTACGCCTTTAACTACATTGCTTATCCCTGAGACGGAGTAGGCGTGGCATTCGAACATGGCACAGAATGGGTTACTTGCGGAATATTCCAGTTCGATACAACTGTCATTATGTTTCGTGCTGGATAGAGACACGACCATAATGTTGTCAAAATATGTCGCTTCAAAAGCACCCCCACCGCCACGTTCAGTGGAAGTACGCAGCCACGCCTACCTCATTTCAGGGATTTCGAGGGTACCTGTTTGGCCATCCTTTTTCCTTGCCATCATCATTGGAAATAGATAAGTGCATCATCTCTTAAACGATATCCGTATCGACTGCTTGCAGTTAGAATCCTCGAACTAATCGGATCGTTCTCCTAGGATCTTCGATTTCAATGAAATTTTCGTCGCTCCAATCGTCTCTCTCTCAGAAGAATCCAGTCGGCTTCCCCATAAAGACGACCTTTGAACGGGGCGCACATTCTGACCGTCTTTCGCAGTGAACGACCACCCGACCGAACCGGGTTCGCGGGTATTCCACAAATGTGCTTGGCCGTTGATGCGGCACGGAATTCTCAGCTCAGCCAGTCATTTTTGGATGCAAACAGACTTGTTCGTACGAGGTGAGCAAACATAGACGAACGCTAGATTAGCCATTCTCACGAACGAACACCAGCAAATTTCCCTGAGAAATCGATGATTGGAACTAATTATCATGTATGCAGTTTTACAGTTCCCCCACGAAGTAGTTGTTCTGATGGATAGAACAAGAGGCGGTTTTGTGGCAAGGAAGCGAGGGAACCGGAATCGCGTCTTAGCGAACGCAATCGTCAGCTCAGCTCTACGATTAACAATACATGCGCGGCAGTCGATGAATTAGGATCATTGAATCGATTCGCTCGTGGACTCACTACGATGCCCGTCCAGGCCAAGGTGGACTAGACGATGTGGGTGGGAGTAAGGGCAATGTCCTTGACGGGTCAAACCGGCATGACGAGAAATTGACCCGAAAATGGAGCTGTACAGCTGTGCGGAAATGGAAATGAATACGGCCTTAACCAGTTCTTGCGCAATCTTATCTTTGAAATGTAGTTCTCAAGTGGTGCAAAGGGCCAGAAATCATGGTCAATGACATCACCTCAAAATCTGGTTTTTGGAGATGTCTGCAGAGGAGGGCGATTCCACAAGCATGCTTCTATTCAATGGAGCATCGAACAAAAGCGTTCAGGGAGACGTTCGAGAAAATGCGGCTTAACGAACGGGAAGGCGATCGGTAAATAAAGCTCAGGACAGGTGTTCTCTATAGTTCTCTATAGTGTGGTTTTTGTGGCTATGTGCACTGAAAATGGGTAGGTGCTGGCACAGGTCATACCCCGCTGCATAATGACGATTATCAAAACCAGCCGGAGATAATCACATACAACTATTACTTTCGAAACGATTACGCAAGAGAACCAACGCTTATTACCATCTGCACCCATACTGCACATATATATACTCTTCAGATATGATTGTGTAACTAGGCTGAGGTCATATAGCCCACGTTCGGCTTAACCCCTGCACCTCTGTGTGAATAGTTTGACTAGAGCCTGTCCAAGATTTTCGCACTTCAATCAGCTTCGGCTAATTTTTCTAATATCCTTTCAAGTGTCCTTAACGTCCCTTTTCTTGACCTCAAGGCTCTGAAGAAGGCGAAAAAGCCGAACGTAACTGGACCTAACAAAACAGTCTTGGACGTTATTTGAAAGTAAAAAAATCCCTCTGACACACTAACTGGGGAAAAGGTTTATTCCAGCGGCAGAAGAGATGAATAGAAGTTGTAGAATGTTGAAGGTAATGCCAGTGAGGCGCTGAGATTCAAGTGGTCTTTCACACTTACAACCCACCCCCACACTTCCCAAATATTGTCTTTAGCTTCCTCAACCTGCTTGCCCTCCTACCCGCTGGTTCCCGATTTTCGAAGTAAGGGCGGGGAAAGGTGGGAAATTGGCATGAGATCAGCTATCAAAAACGGTACTTTGGATACGCCGCCTGTTACATATACACTCCATATCCCACAGGTGGAGAGTCCGTAGCTGCGTACCCCATATAAACGTGGCAGCGGGTGCGCTTTCAAAGAGATACTGCAGTTTAGAACAGCTGCAACCACGACTTGGTTCAGCACAAGAAGGGACAACACTTGTATTAAATGGATTATACCACCAAGGACGCATCCTACACCATGATCAGGTAGAGTACGCAGCTACGCCTATTCCATTGCTGGGATGTGCAGGTATGAACGGTGGGCCTGGAACACGAAAAATCATGAATGAAAGAAAACTGATTCCAGGATCAAATTTGATCCCTCTTTCCAGCGGCGCAATCTACCCTTCCCCTCTACTCTCCTAGGTATGCTACCCAACGAGGACCTGCTTTCGGCTTTGAATCAACCTAAACGACCACTATTTTTCATGGTTTTATATTCACAAATCTTCAAACATTAATTGGGTTTTTCTTTTACTTGTTGGCGGTGTAGTGGGTTCCACTCACCTCTTGGCGTGGGCACGTCCTCTCAGAACAAGTTTTAGCAAAGAAGAGAAAGAAAATTTACGTGAAGGTAATATGAGAACATATGGATGGAACTGGCACCGGGAAAACTCTACTGGGCAGGAAACATTTTGAGCATGAACAGCCACAGATCCACACGAGATCATGGACTAACGACTTGAGTTCTTTCTTCTACACCCATTTCTAGGGCAGATTGTTGGAGTTATGTCAGGATGAACTCACGAATGCAAGAAATGAACTTTGAAAAGGTCTCAAACAAGAAAACAATATTAGAAAAATGAATAGTCTGTCAAGATAATGCTGCGGCAGTAACAGAAGTAAGCTTATTCAGAAGTATTGAGAGAATCTCACCTTTTTCTCGAGTTCCCGGCTGAGGCCGTAGCTCGGTCCGTGATTGGCCATGAGCGAGTAGGGCTAGAGCTCGTGAATATCAGAAGGTTCACACGTGCGAGGGTGAGTGGACGGTGGAGGGGTTGGGAAACCGTCTGCGGATCGTCGGAACGGCGGCGAAGACGAGGACGATGACGATGGCGACGGCGACTTTCTCTCGTGCGATGATTTCTCGCGCACGCCCTCTCCGCCCTGTCGGCACTGCCTCCGATGTTTACGATTCAGGTACAGAATGCCTTCGCACCGCAATGTACCGCACTACCTAATTCCTTGAAACGTTTGAAACGTACTATAGCACACGCGTATGACGCGAATTTGATAAACGGGCAGAGCACGAGGAAGGAAATGAACTCTGAGAAGTCTTCATTGGGCGGGTGCTGCGACACTATTTCAGATAAGAGCCGGTGATTCATCAAATTCCGGTACAAAAACAAGAGAGAGTCATTTTCAAATACAGTGAAGAAGTCCTGATAGAAGTCGTTTCCTGATTCTCGGGAATCGTTTCTTATCGAGAACAAGAAGGGAGAATTCCCAAACATTCAGTTCAATGGGTTGATGGGAGAATCACTTCTTTTTGCATTCAATGCAAGACGCAGCACCCATTCTGAAAAATACAACGAAGGGGTTGCAATTTTTCCGGTGGGAATGGGGTTCGTAATTGCTCTCCCCTCTTCCTAATTGGCGGCACCGCCAACTGCGCAATACAATTTTTCATAGTAAACTGGGGTGGAATGAAGAAGTTGTTTGAAGAAGAACATTCTCCCTTCTCGGAAGAAGCCTGTTTTTGGGTAAAACTGGGAATTTTTCGACTTTTGGAAAATGGGCAGGATCTTGGGCGATTCTAGTAAGGCACAGGTAGGTTACTGTGGTATTCAGACATATCAGATGTCCCTGTGCTCCTCATGCCCTGATACCCCCCCCGCCCCTCCCGCCCAACGGTCCCTTTTGAAGGTTAGGGAACGTATTGAAGAGAAACATTTGAAAGGAAAGTCGTAATTCTCCAAACTTCTTGAATCACTTGTAGATAGAAGAACAATCTTTCAATTGTGAGAAGTCATCAAACGCAGGAGGACTTTGGCTTGTGGTAAGCTCCCGCTCACCACCTCTACAATTATTCAGACGTGTTGTAGCTAGAGACAGGGTCCAGAGATTTCCACCCACGAGTAAGTCCCGAGATTCCCGCCTATGAGTGCTCAGGTCTGTCGCCACACGAGTGGTATGGAAGACCCAAAGGCGGAGTCCATGGAAGAGTAAAGGCCTCTGCAACTGGAAGTAAAGGAGCATAGTTGTAGTAAAGCCAGTGTACTAATAATGAAGTGCGCACCGCCGGCATGGAGACTGGGGGGGGGAAGAACAGATTATGACCGCCAGATAGGCGCGCAGCAGTCGGCAACAGTTGCAGCTACAATAGAACATTGTGAATCTCGCACTTTGAAGCCATGGAACCCTGTGAACTAGTGCTAAATTCTTCTAAAACGTCCAAGATAACACGGTCCGTGATCACGATTAGTGTGCTATATTCAAGGCTCGAACTCGCAGGAAGCTCGACTGTTAGGCCCATGAGTACCCGGCAGAAACCGTACAGTCACCCCACGCCGCTTGTACTGCATTTGATAGAGACCAACTCTGCTCATCTAGCGATCATAACCAGCTGCAAGGAAGAGGGTCTTATTTGGGGGCTTTTTGTCCCCTTCTCCGCCGTGAATCAGCTACTACCCCCCGCTTTTTTATAATCCACTGCTACCAACTGCAGCCGGCTGCCTTCAAAAGGTATTCTTTATTTTGAAGGAATACACCTTCGAAAACCCAGTGCGCATATGAAAGAAGGTAGATTGCTGCAAACAGTTTTCAAAGTCGTGAACGGCGATTTGGAAGCAATCTCTAAAGTTTTTTCATTGTATTCACTTGATATAAAGGGATGATTAATGGAGCTGCATTTGGTTTCTCTGCGCCAATACCGTGCTGCGTTTTAGGTACGATAAGAGAACGGCACGACTTCTACACAAGGCTCTAGGCTTAAAATAGCATAAAATTTCAGCAGTAGCAACGTCAATGAAAACGTATGATCTGAAGCAACGACTGGTGCAAATGAAACTGAAAAATCCATTCTGAAAGAAGAATGAGAGCTGGCGAATATTTGCGACCTTTTCACACGATTGTGATTCACTGCATGAAATATGCATAGGTGAATGGCAAAATCAATGAAAAACCTCGTCTCTGAAAATGTAAAATAAAGCCTTCGTGTAGTTCCGTGAAAAAGCCTTCAACGCTGATTTCGTTTCCAAAGAGAAGAAACAGGAGATCGCGCGTCTGCAGATGAATCATTGCCTGCGAAGGCGATGATTAGTGTGAAAAATAGAGGCTTGTAGGAGGAAAGAGAAGCATTGTACGTAACTGTTATCAACATACTTTATCGAGTGAAACAGCAGATGTGACGGAATGAGATTCCCTACAATCGCTGCGCTCCATGGAATCAGCAGTATTCAGCTGCTGGGATAAGGGAAGTCTTCGCCGTTGATCAATCCCTTTGTGGAATGCGGCACGCATTCTACTTCCATTCAGAATCGTAG